TGTCAAAAGATCGCCGAAGGTGCAGCTCAAGTGGTTTAAAACAATGCCAATAACAACAGCAACGAGGATAACTACAAATAAGTATCAGATTACATTTATGACACTGATGAAGAATCCAATGATGTACATTTTTTTGGTGTAAGTGAAAAAGAATAACAAGATAGAAAAATTGCAACATGACAAAAATAGTAGCCATGCATCCGACTAAGTGACTGTCCAGGCGCGGGCACAGGCCTTAGGCCCCATTTGTTTGCCCTCAGTTGCTTTCAAACTCGTTTCCGAAGAAATCAATTTCAGCCTCGTCTGCGTGTGCGCTCTTGGGGGTTTCGGGTCCCGCATGCTCGAATCGACTCGCTGTCGCTGGGGTTCATATCCACGGGTTCATTTCTATCTTCTTCTCAACTGTTCTTTTCAATTTTTCTATTCCTTCAGAGGTCAGTGCCCCATGGCCGAGTTGTTTTTCTTGCCTCTTTTCTCGTCTCCTGTCCCCTGTGTAATTGTTCGTGTTTTGTCTCCCTTTTTAACCTTGGCTTGTCACCTGGACAACGTGACGCGGCCCGTTGTTGCAGAAGTCTGTCTCCGGCATCTCGTCAGAATATTGTACTCCTTGCTACTTCTGGTTTCCTTTGTCTCAGTCCAGGGATTGGATCGTGTGATGTACCATGCGGCAAAGTCGCGTGCGCATTTTCTAGCCTCTCTCTTTTCTTGATAGTAATAAGTAGTATTTCTATTATTCAGAGGGCGGGAACTGCAACCTGTGTGGTGATCTGGAAGCCAGGCACCAGTCGAGACATATATCTGGAGCAGTGTCAATCTCGGGCTGCTTTGGTTCCGAAGTTGAGAGCGCTAGCCTGCGACTGCAAACTGCAAGACAAAAGGCAGGAGCGCGGGCGCGGCAGGCCTGCCTTGTGGGCACAGTAGCTTTCTTGCTCCGGCTTGTCCATCCAGTTGCTGGATCATGGCATTCCACGGCAATCTCAGCTCAAAGCTCCCTAAGGGAGGTTGTGAGTTAGTGATGTTTCACAACGTGCCCCATGAAGACGCGGAATGACCAACCCTGATGACAACAACGCCGTGACAGCAGACCCGAGTGAAGATAACATGTTTGTTTTGTTGACATGAACTTTTTTGCATCAAGTTGTGAGTCATTTGCACGTCGGTGCTCGCAGCCAAGGCAGGCGAACCCAGACAACTGAGGCACATAGTTCAGTCGGCACGCCACCCGGAGCGACATTTGCCACAAACGCCATTTGGCAGGGCGACCAGCTCCAGTGATGTCTCAAAGGAGATTTCTGAAGCTTCAGAGGCAGAGAAGCCTGGGATGCTGAGTGCGACGTGTTGCTGATTCTGATTCGTTTTTTGGCAGGAGTTAGTAGATAGATGCTGCCAGGCAGACGAAGTTGCAAGCAATGATGAAGCTAAACAAGGCCCGCCTTTTTGCGTATTTGATCAGTGGGTTGCCTGAAGACTCGAAGGAAACCGCATTGATTACATGGCTCCTCACTCTGGCTTTCTACAGCGGTTTGTACAGTCAAAGCACCCTTGTATTTGCTCCCCCGTCGTAGTACAGGACGAGGATACTTCCTTCTTTTTGATGACCTGCAATGATCGAGTTAAACTCGTCAAAAAAGATGTAGGCAACCATATGTAGAGCTGTCCAAAACAGGGCTCCTGTGCTGTGTGCTGTGCAGTCGACCTCAGGGGTTGTTAACTGCTTGGGGAGCAAATACAAAAATGTGCTCCAAGGTGGCAATTGCGACAGCTCACCGCCAACTCCGAATCCATCATCGAAGGCATGCCCGCAATAAAGCTGCAATGCCGGCAATGCAGATGCCGAAAGATTGACGCAGGCGCTCACACCAAGTTCCAGATTTCTCAAAATGCAATACTCGAGGCAGGGAGAAATCATGAGGAATCCCTGCAGTTTAAAGGCTTCGGGCGCAACGCGCCGCCCCAAGGGTCAGCGGATGGACTACTTCCAGTGCTGTTTGGTGGCTTTTTGAGATTTCGCAGCTGAGACTTACAGCTGACGCAGGTCACACATGTGGCAGGTGAAAGAGGGTATCTTGCTGTTGCGTTTGTTTCGGGTTGTCCTAACCCCACCACCTGAACTTTCGTAGGCTGCAAGGGCCCAGAGCCAGCGGAAATTGACAGGACTCTCAGCAGTGGGAACAAGATTCCAGCACCGTGGCAGCTGCAACTGCGGAGGATGCTGAAATCTGCTTTTTGGGATGTTTTCACTGGTGGCTTGACCTGAGATTCAGCACCGGACAAATATAGCAAAGGAGGACCATAGCGGACCCATGGCCTAAGCCTTGTTTTATTTTTAGGCCTAGCGGCACAGGCCGGTCCCGCAAGAAAAGAACCTTAAACCTTGGCATCCATCATCCTCATACCTACTACAGGTTGTGCAGACCGGGGGGGGGGGGGGG